TTTGTTGATAATATTTTTGGCTAAAAGTTAAACATTTTGTATTGCGCCTTGATGTTGCGCGTCAAGATGGCGCGACCTAGACATTCCAGTTTGAAATCTGTGGATGACTACGATATCACGATATTTTTATTTTAGTTTTCCACTTCCACGTTGTTCACTGGGCCGATTGACGAATGCGGCACTTCTTCCACGTAGCATTAGGTTGGAGAGAAATAGAGATTGGAGTCTGTGCCAAAAGCGTTGTGAACTCGTAACACTGGGGTAACCGTGACAATCGTCTTTCAGAGTGTGGGGTGAAGTGACTGAATTCAATCGTCCACTAAATTTTCGAAGCATCCATTCGAAATTTAGTCTGGAGTAGACTATTTTATTTAAATTATTCCAGTTAAAATGAGGAGTTTGGTGTTTCTCGTGCTCATTGCACTCCCGGCGTTTATTTCCATCATCAATTGTGGTAATTTTTATTTATTTTAGAATAAAAATATGGTGGGGCCACAGGGAAAATATTTTTCAATACTCCAGGTCAATTTATGGGGTTTAAAGTCGATTTTATGATTTTTTTTATGTTATGAATTCTGAGGTGATTTGAGGAGGATCTTTTTCTCGTTGAAAGGGTTGTTGTTGATTTCGAGGTTTTTTCTCTTTCGGGGGGATTTTTTTGGGGATTACGATCGAGGGTGCGTGTTAATTGGCGATTTAATGGTTTTTTTTCCAGGAGGAAATGTAGCATATGCCCAGGAAGATGAGACTGTCGACGATATGGTAGATGTCGAGGAGGAGAGCAATGTACTTACCGAGGATGAATTGGAAGAAGAAACACAGACTGCTTCTGCTGATGCTGATACAACTATTCTATTCACAAAACCTGTTGTTAGTCCTCTGTCGACTTTAGGTGAGAGAATGATTTTGGATGAAAGTTGTAAAGACCCGATTGGAACAGGTCGTCGATTTTCCTTAATTATATCCAATAATAACGAGTTAAGAGGGAAATGTTAAGGGACTTTTTTGTAGCTCATTAAATTTTCTACAAAAAAGGTCTTTTGACATTTTCTTTTAAAATTCATCCACACGTTTAAAAATCGACATATCCAGTTTATTCTACTCATGATCTTTCTGGGGATCTCTCATTAATCGTAATTAATAATAAATAGTAATTAGTACTTAATGAAATGTGATTTATTAATTTAGAACTTCCTGGTGGGCATTTGGTGGAATTCCTCGTCGGCTTCACGAACAAAGGGAAGACAGATTTTGTCTTGGAGACTCTGGAGACATCCCTCCGCTATCCCATGGACTTCAAATTCTACATCCAGAATTTTACTCATCTCTCTGTCAACAAAGTGGTCAAGCCCAACCACGAGGCAACACTTCAATACTCATTCATTCCATCTGAAACATTTGCTGGACGACCCTTCGGGCTCAATGTCAATCTAAATTACAGAGATGCTGTAAGTAGTCTTTTGATTTTATTTTTCTCTTCTCTCTGGACGATTATCTCTTGCTAAACCTGAGGGATTGGGATTTTTTAGAGTGGAGCTGCATTCAGTGAAGCTGTCTACAATGAAACAGTCCAGATCATTGAGTTGGACGAGGGTTTGGATGGTGAGACTGTCTTTCTATATATTTTCCTCGCTGCCTGCGTTATTTTGACACTGGTGGGTGGACAGCAGTTGCTCTCATCTCTCGGTAGAAAATCAAGATCTTCGTCCTCGAGGAAACAGACTGTCGAGATGGGCACATCCAATCCCAACAATGTTGACTTTGACTGGCTACCAAAAGAAACTCTCAACAGACTCAGTAAGTTGATTATTTCACAAAGAAAAGGCATACCGATTGAAAATACTTTTTCTTTGCACTCATTATCAGATTTCATTCGTTGCTACTTCACAAAAATTATCCAGCAACTGTTATTTTAATAGATAATTGATCATCTCAATTAATTATGTCATTTCTTCACAGACAAATCCCCAAGAACGCCAAAACAGAGTCCAAGACAGAGGAAAGCGAAGAGAACAGCTGGTTCCGATGATTGAGTGTGTGTTCGTGTTTAATTATTTAATCTAGGAATAAATTCAGGACAGAAATCATTGAAAAAATGTGTTTGGGTGGAGTGAGTGGTGCACATATGAGATCAATCTATTTACTTTTTTGTTAACAAAGTAATTTAAGAACCTTAAGAATTTGTATTCATCAAAACAAATTAAATTTTTTCCATAAAACTGAATTCCCCATTTTTTTCCATCAAATTTCTACAATTAATCATTATTCATGAATTACTCATTTTTCACATGATGAATAACTTTTGATAATTATTATCTTATATTATTATTATTTTTAAAAATGTAAGGGAAATTCTGAAAATTGAAATTGTCCTTGGGATTAGTTGAAGAAGCAATCGCAGGATTTCTCAGCGCTGATGTCAAATTCCCAATATTTTGTGTTTTCTCTTCCCCCTGATTCATTACATATTCCTTGACATTTCTGATATCGTCTCGTGCTCCTTGTGTTTGTTGTTGCGCGAAAAGTCTCCAGATAATTTATCAATTTATTCCCCCCAAAATTGACAAAAATCTAATAAATATTTACACAATCCTAGCTTTTTACTGACACTTGTGAGTACCTCGTGCCCCAGAAGAGTGAAAATAATTATAAAAACATATTCAGAGTGAAATTTCGACCAAATGTTCAATGAGCAGTAGATCGACATCACATCAACACTGACTTGTGACTCTCGTCATTGTTTTGAACATTTTTTTTTGTGATTGAGAAGGAGAAAAATGAGTGATGATGACAGGGACATTGATATCGAAAGCGACGTGAGTGCAATAAAAATATATCAATCAATCCATCCCTTTATTTATTTATCGACTAGTCTCTCTATACGATTTATTTATTATTTTTGTTAATATATATAATATTAATAATTGATTATTTGGTATAATGGAGGAATTGTTTGAGAGTGAAATTGACATTTTGATTTTTAGGAAGGCGATGACTCCGACTCCAGACAGAGACAATCGAGCAATCCTCAGTACTATTCACAGGTAGTGATTTAATTGATCATTATTGACGAATTGTTCAATGGTATTTTTTTAATTTGGTTTTTAAGGCTGAAAAGAGGGCGCATCACAATGCACTAGAGCGTAAGCGAAGGGATCACATCAAGGACAGTTTTTCGAGTTTACGGGATACTGTACCATCACTTCAAGGTGAAAAAGTTGCCAGCAGAGCACAAATACTGAAAAAAGCTGCTGAGTATATTCAGCAGATGAGACGTAAAAATTCGTCGCATCAGCAGGACATCGACGATCTCAAAAGACAGAATAATCTACTTGAATCACAGAGTAAGAAACAATTCTTTAGGCAAAAAACAGAATTGAGAATGTCTCAACAAGATTAATGGACATCAAAAAGTCTTCCAACGCATGATGAATCCAAAAAAAATTTTAAAACAGTGCAAGGCCTTTATTTTTCAAGATACTAAATATTTTCTGATGTTAACGATTGCCCACATAAATTAATGAATTCTTTTTTAAATGCGAGGAAGTGTTCTGAGATTTATTGGAGATAATTGTCAACTCTGTGTTGTGAATAGGAGAGTCAATTGTTTTGCTAATAAATTTATTTATTTGATTTTATTTGACAGTTCGAACTCTTGAGAAAGCGAAAATAACAGGAAATTTTGCTGCCGAATCGTGTGAAGTTGTGAAAGCAGAATCCGTTGGAATCGGTAATTATAACGATTCTGAATCGGAATCATCGGACAGTGAAACGGGTCGTGCTATTCGCCACCCGAAGAAACTCAAAATAGCAAGTATGCATCATTGAGAATAAAAGTTCATCGAGTTATGAATTTTTAAAATGAATGTGAAAATATGCGATGAATTACGTGAATCTGAGGAGAATCACTATATCTTGAATTAACGTTATTTTCATAACGCTTTTCTGTAAAGAAAACTTTTGAAATTGATAATCTAAAAACATGTAATGTAGATAATAATTTAAGTGAAAAGAATTAAATGGAATCAATGTTTGATTAGTTATTGATCTAATTTTTATTGAAATAATTAAACCTCAGAAATTTCAGTTAATATCGGTTCACCAAAATGTCGAGATTAATATTATTCATAATTTATTTATTCTTTAATATCACAGGCCCATGAGTTCGCGATTTTTTTTTTCGTTGATTGATCGGAACAAGGAGAAAACCGAGAGCACCAAGAAGACACACTGAAATATTCAGAAAATTCTGGAATTTAGGGGCAGTCAAACGAGTGCAATGATTTATCAATGATTTATTTACCTCTTTGAATAATTTGAGGGACACCGTAAAAAATGCCCCGGCGGTTAATTGCATCGGCATATTCTTGGAAATCATCATTGTCATCAAGTAAGATTTAGCATCAGTTCTTTTGAAGTCGTACCATTGAGAGTTGAAGACAGCATCACCCAGATTGAGACTCTTCAAAAGAGAAAAATGGTAAAAATTTTTTTTTTAAATTGTAAAATTGTCTTCAGAATATCTAACAGTCTTCGAAAAATTCTGTAGATCTAGTTGAGACCCAAAAAGATTCTTCAGAAGATAAAATCTATTTGAGACTTCTATTTTTTTATCTCTGATATAATCTGTCGGAAAGTTTGAAAGAATTGAGATGAATAAATGAGTAGATGATACCTCTTGTCTCAACTTGTCACCAATATCACAAAAAAGAAATTCTGTCGAAAATCCCAGAATAGCGAAGATCCCACAGATAGTGAGGAAAAATGTACTAGTAGATCCAGTTTGCTGAAACGATTAATTTGTTTATTGCATTGAAATTTATTCCTGAGGCGGTCTTACCTGGAAGGATATGATTACTGTCACGATTCCGTAGGTCTGTATAGCCAGTAAATTAGCCGACAAAAAAAGATTGAATGATTTTTTTATTGATTTAAAGAATCTGAAAAAGGCAATTTCACAGTTTTAGTAAAATAATCAGTAGCCAAGTGGTAAAATAAATAAGTGCATCTTTTTCGATGCCAGTTTTTAGCGATTATTTAGGAATTGAAGGAACATAGCGAATTTTTTGACAAAAGATTATTTTTAGAAAAAGGTGAGAGCTACAAAAAAGGTATCCATGAAAATATCGGTATTTTCCTTTAATTTCGAGATATTGACGAAAAACTGGTGGCGAAAAAAATGCAGTCGTCGTAGTTCACTAGTTTGCAACAAAAATCAATTTTATTATTAAAAAAACTATTGATGGCAAACAAAAAGTCTTTGTATTTCCTCCGCAAGTAATTTTCCATGATTTTTCATGAATAATTATAAATTATTGCTCGTACAAAAAACGTACCAGATTTAATGAAAAAAAAAATTAAGTTTTACGGAGTAATTATGCTAATTACCACTTGTGATATTGAATTAAAAAATGAAAAAAACTCACTGCATTATCTCGACATGTCTCGTTACAACGCATCCAGTGCAAGCGCAATTGTATCGCTCAGCGGGAATATTGTGGAGAGTTCGTCCCTTGTATTGTTCAATTGTGCTTCCAAGAATTTTTAATTGTGCACAGCAATGTTTAGCAAGAATGATAAAATACGCCTCGAGGGAGACGAAAGCTACAACAGTCCAGAGGGATGTAGTAATTTCAAGAATCATTATTACTCCAGATATTGGGGATAAGGTGAAGGGATGCCACACATCAGCGTAAAATGTTATTGGTTTTTGGTGAATGTACGATGTCAGCCAAGGACGAATTGCTGTAACTGTAAAAAGTTTAAACAAAGGTGACCTTGAATTTAGCTTGTAACGAAAAATAAAATATTGCTCAATATTAATGGAATTTTACGAGAAATTAATCGAGTCGATTGGAGTTTTATTTGTTAAATCTTCGCCACGTTTGTTTAAAATAATATAAAATATTCTTTAAACAATTAAACAAATTTACCAAGCATTTAGCATTAGATATCGTAAAGTACTTGTGCTTTAAAAAAAACTAATAAGAGTTGTTTTATGGAAAAAGATCTAGGTGAGAGTTGGGAATATTTTTGAAAATTTCCACTCTCACGTGGTAATTTTTTAAAAAGTGAAAAAAATTTACCGAGCGCTACATTCCGGCTGGATCATCCGAATGCTATCTATAACGGTTCAGTTTTTTCTTCGAAAGATACTCTTGAGGAGAGGTGGTTTTTTTTTTCAACGCTTGATTTATTTATAATCATGTTAAGTGCAATATTTATCGACCTGTGTTTATAAAATTGAACTTGAGGTAGGGAAAGTTAAGACATGATGGACATTCCCATTTCTTTTAGGGGAATGTTTATCGCTCGGAGATAAATCTATCCAATGGATTTTGCTTTGCTAATTAGAAAGCAGAATGTGCATTTTTTAAAATGAAAAAACATTGTATTATTGAAATTTAATTTATAATTTTTTAAAATGAACTTACCTTTCACAAGGGTATGGTTCAGAGAAGGCAATGAGCTTTTACATAAGCATTCAGATGTTCCAGTCGCGGTGTCACATATCTAGATAGACTTAATTCATTTAAAAAGTTTAAACAATTATCTCTCAGTGAGATTCGACTTGAAATCATAAATAAATTTTCATTACAGAGAAAAATCGAGGAGATTAAGAATGATATTCGTAGTAGGATGGCAAATTTCATTATTTCTTTATTGTACAATTGAAAAATTGATTATAAACAAATCGAATGTTGAGAAAAAGCACCTGTTGAGGAGAAAAAAATTAGTCGTAAAAATGATTTGATAGCATTTGAATAATCACAAAGGACTGCAGTTCTTGCTAAATTTTTTTCTAATTAAATAAATTATAATAAATTTACAAATCTCGCCTAGATCTTGTTGTATAAAAAAAAACTTTTCTTTTAGTACTAATAGTTTGAGCCATATTTAATATTGCAGAAATTGAAAATTCCGTTTTATTGTTTAGGAAATAGTATATTTGTTTATTCAAAATTATATCCAAAATTAATGATTATTAATTTTAAGGAACGCCCCGTTGATGATGATTCACCTAATGAAATTAAAATTCAATTGGTGTAATTTCCGTAGATTTGTAGGAATCTGTGATTTTTCTACGAGACAACAATAATTTCTTTCCATTAAAAATATGGCTCTTTAAAATTTTTCTATTTAAAATTCCACGAAGATCTTAACGTCAAACGTCAAGATAAATATTCCTAAATTCCTCTAGTAAAATAAGAATTTTCCTTGATTTTCAAATAAAATTTTCAGGTATTAATACTCACAAGTGAACGCAGTGGCAAACACCACAGTAAGAATTTTCAGAATAAATTGCGATTGCTTAACGCTTTCCAGCATGAGATTTTTCCTCTCGGGAGTTAAATATTTCGCTCGTTCCCAGTCGCTTTTCATGAATTCAAAAATGCCTTGGACATTACGCCGATGTATTTTGAATATAAGAACTTTTGTGGTAACGAATTCCATGAAAATCACTGTCAAAAGCTGAGGGCACCGTTCATTTTTCCAGTCAGTAAAGTACGTTTTTGTAGTGAGAGGCAGTACAGTTGACAATAAAAACGATACAATACAGAGAATAATCCACTTTCTGCGATAAGGAAACGGCCAAATCCCGAGACTTTTCATTGATTTCCTCAGATACTTCACCTCATCATCAAAATCAATTTCCAAATCAATCGGTTTATCTAAACTCCGGTGATTCCTTGAAGCGACAGACAAACATTTAGATTTAACTGATTCGACAATTGGTTGATAGAAACCCATTATGAGCCTTGAAGTCTCGATTTGGTCTCTCGACTTTGGAATTTTGATTCAAACTCAATTGCCTCCACCATTTCTAAACCTCTTAACACAATATTTGAGCGCCCTTTCCGTTTCGAGAACGAAAAAATAAAAAAAAAAAGAAAAATTCATTATTAAATGCATTCGCTCACCCCTAATAACAAATCCTTAATCGTAGATCATATTACGATTGTTATATTCTATCATTAGTGATATATTATTAGGGTGAACGTCAATCAATTTTAATTATTCATTATCTGTCAGTCGAATGATTAAGCTACCTATCAAGGGCTGTGACAATTCACTTCTCATCCTCGCAGTCACGGTATCAATTCAATTTTAATGGTAATCGACAGAGCGGACATTTTGTAATAAATAAATATGTACTTTGTTAATTTATTTAAATAACAGGGCAATATGACAGGCGCACGCGGAACACGCGGTATTGAGAACCATTTTGATAATCTGTCATCATATATTCGGTATTCTTCAACCAAAAAGATTAATCTGTTGACGCAAGCCTAACAAGTGGAATATTAAATAATTACTGATAATTCCTTGTTTAATTTGTTGTTTTTTATCTTTGATAATTTTCATATATTTTTTCAAAAATAAACAAGAGTTTTTTTTTATGGAAAAAGATCTAGGTGAGAGTTGGGAATATTTTTGAAAATTCTCACTCTCACGTGGTAATTTTTTAAAGAGTGAAAAAAATTTACCGAGTGCTACATTCCGGCTGGATCATTCGAATGCTATCTATGACGGCTCAGTTTTTTCTTCGAAAGATACTCTTGAGGAGAGGTGGTTTTTTTTCAACGCTCGATTTATTTATAATCATGTTAAGTGCAGTATTTATCGACCTGTGTTTATAAAATTGAGCTTGAGGTAGGGAAAGTTAAGACATGATGGACATTCCCATTTCTTTTAGGGGAATGTTTATCGCTCGGAGATAAATCTATCCAATGGATTCTCGGTGAGTCCTTTCATTGATGGATCGGCAGACTGAAAATAGCGAAAACCACAAGCAGACGAACTGAAATATAAAAAAGTACCGATTTATTTCGATTTTTAATATTTCATTTAATTTTTTAGTCAGAAATATATTTACCTCTTTAAACAATTCGTGGGACACTGTGAAGAAAAAACCAGCGGTTATTTTTATAGGCATATTTTTGGAAAAAATTATCATCATCAAATACGATTTCATGTCGATTTTATCACGATCGTGCCATTGGATATTGCATACAGCATCGCCAATATCAAGACTCTGAAAAATAAATTAATTAAATTACGTGACCACTGGAATTCATAAAAATTCGATATTTCATAAAATACCTTTTGTCTTAATTCTTCGCTGATGTGGCAACAAAAAAAAATTGCAGACATCCCCAGAGAGCTATAGACCCAAAGAATTGTCATGAAGTATTTGCTTTCAGATCCAGTTTGCTGAAATGATTAATTCATTAAAAAATCTGCCAAGGTCAGATTGAAAATCATGCATTGAGGTACCTTGAAGGATGTAATTAGTGTTGCAATGACATACAATTGTCCAATACCCAAATTGATGGACAGCAGGCGATGGAACAGCTTTTGAATTGTTTTGGAAATTCTGTGAATTTTCAGTGAATGGATGGATTAGAGTGGCCCTTGAGACAGCTCCAGCGGAATTTCAAACTTGCCGCTCCTGCATCTGACTTGGAAAAAATATTTTAAAAAGTACGCAAAGTCTCCAGGTCGTAAATTAACGAAAAAGCGAACTGGTGGAGCTGTTAATTACCCATTTAAATAGAATGGGTCAATTTAACATGGACTCTGGGGGAAGTGCATGGAGAGTACTTTATGTCGAATTTTTAGTAATTACTTCGATTGATATTAGCCATTGAATAATTCATCTTTTCCCAATAACGCATACTTCAGGGACTCAATACTTGAAGATACGTGAAAAAGTTTCAAATAAAAAGTGTTCATCTGCCGAAAATAGATAAATATTGTCATATGACTTGAGTCCGTATCACCATAATTTACTGAGATATCATTCGTTGAGATATTCCAAATTGTCAATTTAAAGACGTAAATCTTAAATATCTTTCTAAACACGAGAGATACAAAAAAAAGTGATAAGATTGAACTGGCGTATTTTTTGCAGAGGAATATTTTTTATCTTCAATTTTTTCGTGTATCTCTAACCGGTCAGCTGCAAATACTCTATTACTCACGCAATTATTATAATGTAATAGAAATAAATAGAAGCAAGTTCATTTGATCTTGATCTTCATTATCCACAAAAGTAGATGCCAATTCTTAGAATTGAATAATTTATATTTATCTTTTTTCGGCAGGTAGACATTTTTTATTTGAAACTATTCCGCGTATCTTCAAGTATTGAAACTAGAAATTCGACAGAAAGTAATCCTGCCCCATGTACTTCCTCCAGAGTCCATATTTTTTTCGTCTCAGTTGGGAGAGCACCCGATGCATAATCGGAAGGTCCCGGGTTCAAGTCCCGGTCTGGACTATCCATTTTTTCAGTAATTTTTCTTGCAAAAATTATATGGAGAATTATCCTGTTCCCCTTCCTACCTCATCCAAAAAATCCTATCCAATAACTCCTATGACGTCACAAAGATGTGGAACGCTATATAAACTTCCCTTCTATGATGTAAAAATGAGGAGCTCAGAAAAATAACGCAGAAAATTGACTGAAAACCCTTGATATTTAATGAGAAAAACCCGCACGACCGGCGCTCTTTCTCATTTTAAAATATATATTTTTTTTCAAGTCAGCGGAGGGGATGGCACCGTTAATCATCCTAGTATGGATTGCAGCAATTACTTTGTTATTACTCAGTGAATACGATAACTTACTTCATTATCTCAAGGTGTCTTTCCACAATACATTTAGTGCATCCGCAATTATATTTGTCTGCAGGAATATTGTGCAGAGTACATCCGTTGTGCTCCTCAATTGTGTTACTGAGAATTTTTAATTGCGCGCAAAAATGTTTTGTGATTGTAATGATGCATACTTCGAGAGATACGAAAGCTATTGCACTGCAGATGATCATTGTGCCCTCGAGGGTCATTATTAATCGAAAAAGAGATGGCATCGTGAAGGGATACCAAACATCCGCGTAATATGTCAAGGGTTTCTTCAGCATGTGTGATACCACCCATGGACGCACACCAGCAACTGAAATGACAATAAAAACAATTGATTATATTTATCCTCAAGTTATCGTTATGATAATCGCAATTTTTCCCAAAAAATTACAACAAAATCTCATTATTTTTTAAAGTGATAGGCTATTTTTTAATAAATAAATATAAATGATAAGTGACCGACGGTAGTGGCCGTGCGGTTAGAGTGCTAGACTAGCATGCCAGAGATCCGGGTTCGATCCCGGGCACCGGCGGTCAAAAATTTATAGCGCTCTGATCTCACGGTTCCACTGCCGAGCGGTAGTCCTGTCAAAAGGACGACTGTACCTGGGCAGGTTTTTTCCCTCAGATGAGGTTTTTCCCTCCCTTCAAGCAAATGCGGTACAGGGGGTTGGGGGGGTGGGAAGGGAACCAACTAACCGTAAAGACCCGAAAGGGTATACGAGAGAAAAGAAATTTTTATAAATGATAAGTGAAAAATGTCATTTAATTAATTGTTATATAATAGCACTTCAATATAATTTTCTAATTTCGGCGGCAATCGGAATTAATTGCAAATAAAAAATTACAATTCGAAATGGAAAAATTTGCAAAAATAATGTCTTTAGTCTTTAATCTTTAGTGGTTTTTTTAGGCGTTCTCTAAAATTCGGGAAAGTGCAAGAAGCCTTCCAGCCATTTTGCACTCTGCACTTGTCAGCTGCCTAGTCCATAGGTGTCAGTATGTTGGCCCCTCGAGCGAACTCATAGAGCCTTTCAATACCGTTCCTATCAACATACATTTCTTGTAAAAATAATAAAAATTTGTTTTTTGTAATCAGAGTATCACAGAAATTATCTTCGATTTGCACTTTATTATAATTTATTAATTTTAATTGAGAGCACGGAATTCTCAAAAATTCATGATGGATTGTTATTAATTGAATGATCTGTATATTTTTGGAGATCAGTACTTACAAGTGAAAATTAAAGCAGCCAAAATGCCCAAATATTTCGCGATGTTTACGGCTTGCCTCCAATAATTCCGCAAGATATTTTTCCGCTTACTAGTTAAATATTTAGCGCGATTCCAATCATCTCTCATGAAGACAAATATATCTCGAATTTCTCGATGAAAAATTTTGCACGCAAAAACCTTGATAGTAACGAATTGAAGAAAAATTGTGGCTATTAATTGATAGGCCCTTTCATCTCCCCACTCGATAGTGTACGTTTTCGTCGTAAGAATAACTATAAAAATCGAAAGGCATGAATTAACGCAATTGATTATTTTTTTTCCAGAGTATGCGAAGGGCCAAATTCCGACGATTTTCATGATAACACGGAGATATTTTATTTCTTCATCAAAATCCAGTGCCAAATTGGATTCGTCCTTGGAACATTCGACATTTTCCGAGGAATTCGACTGGAGCTTTTCACCACTTTTCTCAATTTTCTTACGTACATTCATTTCGTATGGTTTTTATAATTTTCAATATTCTTGATTTACTCCATCAAAAGCATCGTCACTGTTCTAACACCTCAAAAGAGACACTGAATGATTTGCGACCAGGAAAATCTATACAGCCGAAATCATTTTTCCAGTTCTATTATACTGGTTCTAATGACAATAAGATTACCGAATATTCCAATATGTCTATTAATCAATAATAAATGTATTCCTTCCTACACAATCGCGCAATCATTCCGAAGTAATCGAAAATACATTCTCATCATGAATTCCAGAAAAGAAGGAACGTCGAGGTTCATAAAAAAAAAGAATTGTCAAATGATTTCCTCAATAATACTAAGTGCTAGCATCAACTTAATCGATTTTCATAATCCTGGGAGATTTGTCCCCTCCGATACGATCGATTTTTCAATATGTTGTATCCAGAAATTATAACAAATTAAAATTTGAAAATTATTTTACAAATTAAAATTTTAGGGCGCAATCAAATTTGTTGGATTTCACAAGTGCCTCTCAGCTATTCCGAAATCGCTCATAAATAACTCGGACTACTTAAAGCCTGAGAAATATAAGAAAGTAGAACAAAGTAGTTCAAATCATACACTACAAAAACCGAACAATTTAACAAATAACTCATATACTATATACATATGTTTATTTATAAACAAAAAAATATTGAAAAAATAATTTGATAAATGTATGGTTTAGGTCCACCAAAAACAAAAATCATTGAAAATATTAATTTCTCTGATGAAAATCCATTCGAGAATTAGGTTAATATTTTGAGGTTCAAGACAATTATTTTTATTTTTCATCAGTTCATGAAGTAGTAGCTTCTCCACACCAGTCCTGATGATACTGATCAATTTATATTTTTACTTCCGAATGGAAGCATTGCAATCCTTCGATTCTCTAATTTTGCCTGGAGATGACGTAGAATGGTCTGAAACGTAAAAATGCGAAGTTTGAAGACCGTGTGTGTATGTGATGATCGTAAACTGACGGTCAATTTTTACAAAAGAAGGAGCATAAACGGGTAAATTCATTCCCAAAAATCTGAAATTGGGTCAGTTCATAGGTTCTAATATGGACTTCATCCGTGCTGAATTTCAGCCCGATCGGTCGACTAGTTTTTTAAATATCTGTGATTGATTCTGAAAAGTTTTTTTTCAAAATTTCTCAGAAACTATCAACCCGTCTACATTTTTTATTCTTTTTAAATGTTCGTCTCAATGTACTCTATATGGATCAGTCGGAATATATATATGTATTTCTACAAAGTTTTCGAGATATTTCAATTTTTCTTTATTTTTATAACATCATGTCGTTGCTCCCGAATGAAAGCTTTGTAATCGGCCAAATTTGAGATATCGTGGTGTGTACTCGGAATGGAAGAAAAAATGCAGCCAAATTTATGAAATTTTTTTCACATGTTATCTGATCCATTTAGACACCCCTCACAAAATTTCAAGTGTCCTATGAGAAAGAGACCAATAGAAATTAATTCTAAAGTCATTATTTATACATGGGGTTGACTGGATGATCGATAAATTCAGTATCTTTTCCACATTACCGACTGCCGGCTAACGTAGGGAAAATGCATGAGTTATCGACACTCCCTTTAACTCCACGCATAAGTAGCAACTTTAGAATTAATTTTTATTGATGGCTTTATCGTAGGACTCGTGAAATCTTGCAAGGGGTGTCTAAGATGATCAATTAATGTATGAAAAAAATTTCCCAAAATTGACTGCTTTTTTTCTCATCCCGAGTTCCCGCCATATCTTTAAACATAATGTAGTTAGTTGTTAGTTGCTCCCGCCCATGTGAGATGTCACCACCTATGTACATACATTATGTATCATATATAAACTTCCGGTTGATACGTTGGGTGATGAAAGCGCTGCGGATTGCGGACGGTCCCGTGATTTTAGAGGCGAGTGTGACTCGGTGTCTCAAAGGGGCAAGTACTCTCAACAGTTATTGCAAATTTCACCCCCCGTGGAAGGAAGTAAAGGAGAAATCCCCGGGTGTCCCCCCACCGGTGTAAAAACACCCCCAGTGTCGAGGACACTCACCGCCAAATCAGCTGATCCACAAGAATTCATATTCAGTGAAAATTCCTGGGGCAATCATGTCCGCGTGTCCGAGAATTCAGCAGGCGAATGGTGATGGAAATTTATCATCACCTAGGAAAAAACAGAGGACCACCACTTCTTCGAGTTTAACTAAGGTCACTGTTGTCCTTGGGGCACAATGGGGTGACGAGGGAAAGGGAAAGGTTGTAGATATGCTTGCTGATGATGCTGATGTTGTCTGCCGGTGTCAGGTAATTTTTTTTACTCCATTACTAATCAAAACTCATCGCATTACCAAATTCTTCATTCATCCAATCACTCATCATTACACTGACAAATAGTTTTATTACTATTTTAAAAAATCCTATTCATATTTCATTTGGACTAGCTTATCTTCATTTTTACACTGAGATAATAAAAATACTTGTGTCAATTGAATTCAATGATAAATTTATTGACTGGAGATTTTATTTTTATATCGGCATTTTAATCGAAAATAATTCGTGGTATTTAATTTACGGGCGGAAAATCTTTTAAATAAATCAAATTATTCACTCCATCAAATGTGGAAACCCCATTTTCATTCGCACAATTCCTCCCCACATTATTACAAAATTCTTGATTCTTACAACTAGTACATCCTCATTGCACTGAGAAATAAAAATACTTCAATTCAATTTTATTTATTATAAAACTCACAATTTTTTCGATTACACTGAGAAAAAAAACTTCTGCCAATTAAATATAGTAATGACGAATAAATCAATGGAGATATAGAAATGATAGAAATGATATAAATTTTATAAAAAAATATTTCGTGGGATTGAAAGTAAGGGCGTAGTATATTCGCGTGTCGTTGAATATCATTATTCAAATGTAATTAGATTCTCTGCTGTACGTTTGTGTCTTATTACATCTGCGTATCAATTATTTCTGATTGTTCTATTTAGACGTGTCTTAACAATGTGTGTGTTGTAACAGCGATTGGGTGGGGGTGGAGGTGAGCCTTGAGTGTTGATTTCGAGAGCAGTTATTATTTTTAGATTTTTAGATGCTTTCAGTACCTGCCAATTATCAGCTGCTGCGATCAGATCCACTGGCATCTCAAACAAATCTCCAACATTTCATTAATTATTTATGACAATTCACCGTTTAATTTCAATTTTTTTATATTTTAAGTGGATTATTACTCTAGTTTCGACGATTAGATATTTGTCAATCTGCGAACTAGGATTAGGGAAATTACGGGGAATTATTTTAGTCGCAACTATCGGATTGTTAATTTATTTAGAAATAAATTTGTTATCGCTCATTTTTGTATGGAGTCTTGAATAAGTGAAACGTAATACTTGTTTTCTTGGATTTTCCAGGGTTTTAAGAATTCTCCGTAATTCAGGGAAATCGAGGATTAAATTATGGAACTGAAAATAATTCAACAGTAATTTGCGGTTCCCATGGATTTCTCCATCACGTGATGAATTATTAATGTAAAAATCATTTGAAGATTTAAAAAAAATGCTAGTAATTTCCAAGAATTAATTAAATTTTTCCAAACGTCGTGGAATTTTCCCCAGCTTGGACTTGGAATTTCTGAAGAATTCATTCTGACGAATTGAGTGCCAATGAGATTTTCGCTTTTACATTCCCCGAACAATTGAATTTATCCACGAAAATTTTTGGTCTCAAGACAGTCTCTAGGAGTCGAGCTCGAGGTTGCGTATTTTTGTAATTTTCCACCAACAATTTATTTAAGAGGATGGAGTATCTCGGAAAGATAATTTACTCCTAAATTGGGATTCCTAATTACTCCGCCAATTAATTGTTTTTCCCGATAATTGTTAGCTAGCGTTCTAGTCGTTGAAAACCGCTAGAACGCTAGCTAACAATTATTGAAAAAAAAACGATTAATTGCCAGAGTAATTAGGAATCCCAATTTTGGAGTAAATTATCTTTTCTAGATAATCCAACCGGTCCTACAATTTACAATTGACATGTTGCGTTATTCTCTCCATAGAGTCTCGTCAGATCCGATTCCTTTCAACTATCAGTTAAATTTCCGTAAATTTAATTAGCGGGGATTGAACGGAAAATTCCTCATACTCATTCTTTATTGTTCGTATCTGACTGTCTCGAAATTGCAGCAGTTAATAAATCAATTAATTAAAATGTATAATTCAATGATAATAACTTTGACGCAGCAGCTGTACTTTGATTCAATGATTGTAAATTAATCGCGACAAATCATTCGAATTCATTCAGGAAAAATGACAACTTATTTAATACCAGTTTGCTCCAGTTATTTAATTACCGTTATCTCGAGATAGTGTGACCGATATGGGGGAATTGATGATTGTGAATGTCTTTTTCTTGTCAGGGTGGAAATAATGCGGGACATACGGTGGTCGTTGATGGAGTCTCCTTCTTCTTTCACCTGCTGCCTAGTGGAATTATCAATCCAAGATGCAAATCAGTACTAGGTGAGGAATTCATCGAAGACATTCACGAGGAACTTTCGGCTGTTAATATTTTATTACAATTATCTGGATTGATGCACGACACGCGTGGCAGTCAATTAAAATTCTCAAAGATAAAAGTCTCAACGTAGAAGGCCCAGAATTTCCTTATCGATAGGAGATATTATTACCCATTAATCAGAAAATGCTGGGAAATACTTGGAACGTAGAAACATGTATTTTATAGAGCCTATCGAGATAAGGAGAACAGTTGGTTCAACCAAAGACCCTCACGATATCTGAAGGACGTCAAACTCCTTATGAATCATTCAATTATACTGTAATAATTATTCATTATTAATTATCAATACGTTCCATTAAATTTCCATAGCTAAATTGCAGACGATGAAATAATTCCTGGAAATATTGAACAATTTTTCGGAATTCAAGATAGAAAAAGAAATTTATTGTTTTAAACGTGTGGATTCTTTTTTTTGTGGGGAACGTTGCAATAATTACAATCTTCTATTATATCTCACTTCACCTTTTGTGAGACTTCCCTGGAGTAAATAGAATACGAAGAATCTCGAGCAAATATGAAGTACGACAGCTATAAATAAAATAGAAGTGGTCGCCTGACAAAACTCATTACCGAGGCATCGATTAAACCCCGGGATTAATATTCGTTGCTAGCGAGTGAATATAATGGAATTGTCATTATTATTTTAGGGAATGGAGTTGTTATTCACCTGCCAGGATTATTCGAGGAGCTCGAGCAGAACGAGGCGAAGGGTCTCAAGGATTGGCAGGACAGGTTGATAATCTCGGATCGTGCCCACATTGTCTTTGATTTTCATCAGCAAGTCGATGGAATGCAGGAGCTCGAGAAGGGAACGCAATCCCTGGGGACGACGAAGAAGGGCATTGGTCCCACGTACTCGAGTAAAGCCACCAGAAATGGATTGAGAATTGGCGATTTACTCGGGGATTTTGATAAATTCTCCGAGAAATTCAAGACTCTGGTGCAACAATGTCAGAGAATGTTCCCATCTCTTCAGGTCGACGTCAATTCAGAACTCGAGCGGTACAAAGGGTACGTGCAATGCAATTAATGTCATAAATGCAATTAATGCAATTGGTGCAATTAATGCAATTAATGCAATTAATGCAATTACGGAGATAAGTGCATTAAGTTTTTTGAGGATATCTCCGGAATTAGAGGAGATAATAATATTTTTGTGATGACCTTGTTTGAAATGTAATAGGAAAATCGCCATATTGAAATTTAAAACAATCGAGTAATTTCGGGCGACCTCGGGGTCATTAGGATTTTGGGCCAGCTCACGTAGAAAATCCGCAACACGAACACTCACTCTCTGTAATTCAACCAGAGCAGTTCATATCTATAGCTTGTGTTTAGAAATCGTATCGAGAATTGAATTCAGGCGTCTAGACATACTGCGAGAGAAGTAGAAGTTCAACGGTTTTTCAAGTACATCATCGATTGAGAATTTGTAAAATCACCGGAGTGTTAGAATTTCATCGAATTGTTAATTGAGATACGTAACGTGATAAATTCCACGAGGAATAATTTGTATAACGAGGACGCAAGGCTCACATCTAATAAAGTACATCACTAATAGGTTTCGTGGAGCATTTGTAAGATAATTATTTTCTACCACCAATTGCTCCACTTCCCCCAGATCCCGGCAAAATTCATAGCTATTTCTCAAACAGACCTTTTTTCCTGGGCTAATTAAGGGCTACAAAAAAGGTTCAGACATAAATTTCGGTATCTCCCGTAGATTCAGAGATATTTGAAAAGTTGTGGAGGAAATTAATCGAATTGTTAATGAATTGATAAGTAATTTTGTTATTATTGTTATTAAGCTATGCAGAACGTGTGAGACCCCTGGTGAAGGAGACAGTGTGGTTTCTTCACAAAGCCCTGAAGGCAGGTCAGAAGGTTCTGGTGGAGGGTGCTAATGCTGCCATGTTGGACATTGACTTTGGTACTTATCCATATGTAACAAGTTCGAACTGCAGTATTGGGGGTGTTATCACTGGCCTCGGGTTACCTCCATCCACTATCGGTGATACCATCGGGGTTGTCAAGGCCTACACCACGAGGGTTGGAGATGGTCCTTTCCCAACAGAGCTCACCGACTCCACTGGGGAAATACTCCAAACACGTGGACGAGAAATTGGAGTTACCACACGCAGGAAGAGGCGGTGCGGATGGCTAGACCTTGCGTTGCTCAAGTTCACTTCGATGGTCAATGGGTAATTATTATTTATTTTATTATAACATCCGTCATATTGTTTCAAGTAAAACAGAAAACCTAGAAAATTCCTGAAAAGATCATCTTCTCTGAATAATAAAAAATCTATGATATACGGAGCGTCTGGAGGAGTTTCGGAATTTTTTAATTGGAATTATAATTAATTACAGATACACAGCACTTTGTTTAACTAAATTGGACATCCTGGACACCCTTCCAGAATTGAAAATATGCACTGGTTATCGTCTGAATGGGAAGGAGATTGAATATTTCCCGAGTACAGCGTCAGATCTGGCGAAGGTCGAGCCGATCTACGAGACCTTCGAGGGATGGAATTCGACGACAGAAGGTGTACGTTCCCTCGATAAATTACCTGTAAATGCTCGTAAATTCGTGAGGATAATTGAAGAAAATTTGAATATTCCAGGTAAGACCAATGAACTACCAATAAGTCTTTTTTTTAATTAAAAAAAATTTATATTTTGTCTAACATTCTGAATGATCTCTTGCATTTCAGTCAAATGGGTCGGCGTTGGTGCAGGAAGAGAGAGTGTCATTGCTCTCTGACGATTTAATGTAATTAAAGAATCATTTGATCGCACTATTTTCTGTGTATTAATAAGGATAATTAATGTATTGTTAATTGTTAGAAGCTGATGCGCACAGAATCATGGAGAAGATTGTATGAAAATATTGAGAAGCCTCTTGTAAAATGCATGAAATCAATTAATCAGTGCGCTTAGTCTGAACCTATTAACTTAATTTGCAAACTTTACCAATCAATTATAATTATGAAATAATTATCTTCACATTTCTTCGTTCAACAGCCTTTTCATTTTCTCCTTACCCCATCAATTTGATTACTCATTTGAATTTGTTCATTAGCTTTAGAAAATTGTGATAATTCCGTCTTTAATTATTAAATTTATCAACGAAAATTCGCATTGCTCCACAGATAATCATGAAATTTTTCATTTCCAATTCTCATGGGATAACATCGGCAAATATAAAAGAATATATGAGCTTTTTACAAAAATACATATAAAAAATATTTCACGTATTTTAAAATAGAATTCGAATCAATATTTTAAGATGTATACTATTGGTATAAAATATCGCATTTCCCTCAGAAAAATCGCAAAATTCATTGAATTTTCAATGAAATTGTGATATCGACAGTTTAATAACAAAAAACTAAGTGAAAATAAATTTTTAATGTCTTTCCCTTGAATATTTTCGAGTCAGTATTGATGAATTTTTGTTAATAAAAAATGGTTGCGGTAGATGTGATAAAAAATTCAATTAGAAAAATTAATTGCGATAAAAAAACCTGTCCCTACGAAATCCTCAAACTACTGGAGATCTTGCTCTCCCGTCGATCCCTGGCCCTTCGATTCTGGAACCAAATTTTCACACGACTCTGGGGCAGCTTGAGGACCCCTGAAAGCTGGAGGACATCCTTCCTGGTGAGATAGGGCCCACCCTTGTACTTATCTTCAAGTACTCCAAGTTGAAATGAAGTGAAAGGTATCCTGGGATGAGTGGCTGGTCTCCTCTTGGAGTTTCTGCTGCCAGAACTCCTCCGGGGAAGTCTCGGAGGCTTGTACCTGGTGCACTGGAGCCACTGGAGATTCCGCGCCCCTAGATCCCCACAAATATTCAAATTTGAATTTTTCACTCGAGACAAATCCTCTTCATCGCAGTCCGGCTGTAGTCGTTCCTTTGAACCTCCAGTGGAGGTGTCCTCAACAGTCACAACGTCTACCTCATCCTCTCTATCGGATGAACAATCGGTACAATCACTCGTTATTTCTTCTCCCTCTTTAATCCCTGAAGATGATTTAGAGTCATCCCCAAGAATTCTCGCGATGCTGAAGTCACTTTTTCGTCTGGGATGCGATCCCGACATATTCCCAGGACCAACTGAAAACCCTCGAGATCCATCTCCACCATTATATGTCCTGGACCCTTTCCAGTAACTTTTTTCCATTCGTTATTACTGTATCTATTTGAATTGAGAAATTAAACGCCTAGTTGCACACCCCCTAGATGGCTATCGCATTTCGCATCTACTCCTGGTCTTTACCGCAAATCTCCTCCCCTTTTGATACCTGTCTTTTGTTGTATGCTCTTATACCAGTGTATTATATCAACGTGAATCTTTCATCCCCTGGTGCAATAACAACAATGTAATTGATACCACTGGCGGTTGTTTTTTTTTTTTCTCCTTTTGGTTTTGCCTGGGGGGACCTCGAGTGGAGGATCTGATGGGCCAGATGTCCTGGAGCTAGTCTTCCGAGAGTAATTTAAAAGCCACAGGGGTCAACTAATCCGGTAATACGTATATCGTATGTTGGGTAAACAGATGAGGGGGTTCCTCCTCATCTACTGGTTTTTTTTTTCAGGACCTGGGGGATCGACTGTGTCAATCATTTATTGATGAGATTATGCCAACTAATTATCCATTTTGTTGCTAAAACCTTCAGGAAAATCCTAGAGGAAAATCTATTTATTTATTTAGGGAATTAGTGGATTGAGTTCAGTACAAACTATTTAATATATTCTTGGAGATAAATTATAGACCGGTAATTATTTACCGATTGTTCAGGAACTTCTGATTAGTCTCTGGCGGAATTTACATAAATTTTGATGCTTCTATTGAAGTAATGAAAATAAAAACAAATAAAGATGTTAATTAAGATTGTTAAGAAATAAATGAAGAAATTGCAATTCTATGAAGAATAAAAATCCATTACAGCTACTTAATATATTTTTGAAGATAAATTATGTACCGATAATTATTCACCGATTTTTCAGAAACTTTTGGTTAATCTCTGGTGAAAGTTTATATAAATTTTTTTACGGTCCAATAAAAATAAGAAAAATAAGAAAAAATCAATAAGTTAATTAAAATTATTAAGAAATAGTAAAATTGGAATTCTCTGAAGAAAAAAAATTCCCAGGATTTGCCGGGAGCCGTACTGAAAAAAAAAGATTTTGTGATTGACTAAAAAATTGTTAAATCTCAAAATTTATTGAAAAAAGGCGGGACACATTTTTGGTGACATAAATTGAAGAGAAAAATTTTGGACAAGTGGATGTTGTAACTTCGAAGCCAATCAATGCCGAAGAAAATATCGAGAGGTGATTCTGTGAGAACCCGCCCATAATCATAAACCGGAAATGAACCGCGGAGGTGCGCGCGCCGGTGAAAAGCTGCTGCGCCCAGTCAACCGCGTCCTTTCCGGTTCGTTCGTTGGAGTAGCTGTGTCTTATTTAGTTTTAGCTGTAATTTAATCTATCTCCATCTTCCAAAATGAAGATCTACAAGGACATTTTTACCGGTACGTACCATTTAACAAGATTATCCTGTATTTTCTCGTTTATATTTTCATAGTTTATCATCTCCAGAATGATTTATGGGGCCATGAAAAATCGAGATTGACAATGACACTATGACATTTATTCATGCTTTCTCCTGTCAAGACTCATTAGTAGCCTTGGGTTTTAATTGTTTATTATCAATCAGTTGTTTTAGTTATTTATTGTTATAAATGGAACATTTATTGCGATATCATTTTTTTTTGTAAATATCGCTTGACCATAACCTAGCCATATGGTTCCTATGTTGACTATATCGACTATATTTGATATTGTGAAATGTTTTAATGGATTTTCTGTCTGATTTTCAGGTGACGAGATGTTCTCGGACACTTATAAAATTAAATTGATTGACGACGTGTTGTACGAAGTCTACGGAAAGGTGAATATTGTTAGGGAATTGATTGAATAATGATAAAATGGTTCATTCAATTTAGAATGGAAATGCATTTTCACATTTTTGGAGATTAATTTATTGGAGATTGATATTAATTATGATTTATTATGCCAGTTGGTGACTCGTAAAAGTGGAGAGATTCAAATCGATGGGTTTAATCCGTCAGCTGAGGAAGCTGATGAGGGCACAGATGAAGGTGTCGAATCTGGTGTAGATGTCGTATTGAACCACAGGTTGGCCGAAACTTATGCCTTCGGAGACAAGAAATCCTATACTATCTACCTTAAAGACTTCATGAAAAAGTGAGTTATTAAAGCGAGAAAAAACTTCTCATGGTCTCGTCAGTGTGAAATGAAATTGTTGTCTCGAAATATTGTTCTAATTTTTGATGATTTATTTAATTTTTACCCAGATTGGTAGCAAAATTGGAGGAAAAATCGCCAGACCAGGTTGCCGTATTTAAAAACAACATGAACAAAGTGATGAAGGAAATCCTGGGGAGATTCAAGGAGCTCCAGTTCTTCACTGGTGAATCGATGGACATTGATGGACTCGTCGGGCTGATGGAGTACCGTGAAATTGATGGTGTATCAACGCCAGTACTCATGTTCTTCAAACACGGTCTCGAGGAAGAGAAATTCTAAATTAAAAGATAATTCATTAGATATTCAACAAATTATTGGATGACGAAATAAAATTTTGTAAGTTTCTGCTGCTCTTAACTTTTATTCCTCAAGGGCTACATGTCACGATGATAACGTCTGGGGATTGATGTTGTCATTGCACTGACATGTGACATTGAGTAACGGTGAAGAGATTCCCGGACTGATCCTATGATCAGGCCGTCTAGGTTAACCAAACATTCCAGATAAAATCATAAAATCAATGGGGAATAATTTTTTTTTGTTAATTTAACGATTTTCTATTATTTCAGATAAATCCGGAATGAAGACTGTACCTTAGCTTCCCGCGTCCTGGGGATAATCAGTGTCCAACGAACTCACGCTATTTAATTTATAGCCAATAACTATTTTTGATTTTGTCATTTTCTTTTTAATAATTTTGCGAATGTACATAAAAAAATCAGTCGAGTCCCCAACAGAAATTAACAGAACGAATTGTCCAGTATATTTTCTCGATTATTTATTAATTTCTGAATAACTTGAATTAGGAGAGAGAGATGAAGAGGAGAATGAAGATTTGATATGATGGAATGAAATAAATTTGTTTTCGTGACCCAAATGACCCATTGCAATCAATAAAAAAATGTTTTCATAAGTGATGAATTATCTTGCACGCATTCCCTCATCCCAAAAATTTTGTCCAATAGAAAATAATAGAAATTATTCTGCTGGTAGTGTTTTATTTAAACGCATTTGTCCATAGAACACTATTCATTCTAAATGATTAAAGAGGTACATTGGATATCTGTTATTTCCAAAATCATGAATTTCCCACGTAAAAAAAGAAATGTTATCCTTGAAAATAGGACGGTAACTGCAATGACAATCATTTTCCAGAATTTATTCTCCTATTTTTTCGCTTTAATTCGATGAACTGTTTGTTCAATTTCAATCGAACATTCATTAAAACATATTTGTACTAGTGTGTAACATTTGCAACTCGATAATGCCAATTTATGATCGATCGATCAAACGTTTAAATCATCCTATATAACAAATCTAATTCTCAATTCGTTGACCAAACGTTCATTACCTTTTGGACTAGCGAATTCATTGATTTGAGCATTAATAAAAAACATTTTTCTTTACATTAATTTACAGAACTAAACATCATCCCTATAAATTACATTTTTGTAATGTGAAATAACAGGCAGAAATTTCATCGAAGATTATCACGTGGACAAAACATCACAGCACAAAATATAAAAAATCAAAATATCACACGATGAAAAAATGACATTTGGAAAATTCCAAATTATCGGGGGAGCATTTAGATATTTTGCCATGTGATATTTCGTCCTGCAACCTCCAGAAGTGCTACTAAAATCAATGAAAGCAATTACTGGGTCATTACTGTATCGTGTAATTATCATGTACTTAATCTATTCAAGTGATCGTCAGGATCTTCATTAATTTTTTCTCGTTATGCTTAAGGTAATATATATCTCGGTTTTATTCTTACATATTTTTTTTTTTTTTTTTCAACATTCAAATATAATTCATTATGAAAATTCTCACAGGTAGCACTCGCGCCCTTGCTCTTCTAATCTGGCAAAATAATTTTTCTTCCCTTCCTGGTTTTATTTTCTTATTTTTGTTGGATACCAAAACTATTGACTCTCACGTACGTCGAGGTAATTTCGGTTCAGGTTCCTTCCACCACTTTTTTTTTTAGTTAATCCATTGTTCAGTGACATCACGAGAAAAATATTACGAGCATTATATATTCTATTATTTCCATTATAGATCTGTTTTTTTATTCTTTCCATTATATAATTCTTTCGATTGTGATTATCGGTAATGCACTGGTGGGCATCAGGTCTCGATCAATAATAAAATCAATACAATCAAATGATTACAAATGAAAAGATAATCATTCCGATCCTCACAAAATAATTAAAATAAAAACGTTATAATTTACAATATGATTTCGTGTTCTGCATAATCGTGGGTTTTTCTCTGCGATAGGCATCAACATTAAAAAACTCTAATCAAGTGTAATAACAATAACCAACAACTAACGATTCCCTACGCATTCACGCAAAAATAGAAATATCGATTCGATAATTGTATCGTTAATATTTAATCGTAAGTAGGTAATTTTTTACTGTTTTTTTTTATCGATTCAAAATACCGATTTTATCGGTGATAAATCGGCAACAGCTGAGTGGAGATAAGTCTTTCATGTAAATTGCAATAGTTCGATAATAAATACGTGATTAATTCAGTTAAGGCTTGGATGGACTATCTATCGAACGTCGACTTTTGTTTAAATTTTATTTTTTTAACCTAAAATACATTAAAATTTGGGATGAATTTTGTGTTGCGGGAAGCAGTTGAATGGACATGAAAAAATAATGAAAAAAAAAGAGGAAAAATGATTGAAGGGCGCGAAAGATCGATATTATTTAAAAAGGATTTACCAAATTTACTAAAAAATAATAAAAAATACGTAGCTTACTATTGCATCTAGCTGTCACTCAATCTTTTTTATTATTTTTTTGTAAACTTGGTAGATCCCTTTTAAACAATATCCCTCTTTAGCGCCTTTCAATAATTTTTTCTCTTTTTTTCATTATTTTTTTATAACCATTCGAGTAGCTCCCGCAACACAAATTTGATCCCAAATTTTAATGTATTTCAGGCTAAAAAGATAAAATTTAAACAAAATATGGCATTCGATAGATAGTCCACCCGGGCCTTAAGTAATTTAGTTTAGTTTAGTGTTCTGAAAGTTGTAGATCCGATTCTCCTCGAATTTTTTAATGAGCACCGATGAGCGGGAGGTCGCTAATAGAGCAAACGCCTGTACCGATATGGTTTTTCCTGTGGTTTCCCATGTCATTCCTAAGTTCTCTAGAGTGAATATGGTACAGTGTAGGATCCACAGCCACATGCATACGGATAGGGCCAATTAGCCAAAAGGGGAGGCAGAAAGGGCCGGAATATAAGAAATAAAAATTAATTCAACCATGAAACGACGAATCAATTGTAATTCTGGTGGAATTTAGGCGAAAAATCGCCGGATAGATTCACTTTCATCACGTGACTACCTAATTTATTCACACTTGAATATTTGTTTATTATTATTTGTTAACTCACTCAGCTATCGCCGCAATTTTAGACGAAAAATTTGTCAATAACGAGAGTCAAAGAGTCTACATCCTTCTTTAGATTTAATCGTTAATCGTCTAGTTTCTCTACGCAATTCTTAATTTTATAGAACAAAAGTACATTTATATTTTTTCGCAGTGTTAATGCGATCCAATGTTCATTGAATCGTCCAATGATTTTTTCCCCTCGAAATTGCAACGCTTTCAATTTTACTGTCGTTGAGTAATTTTTAGCTGCATCAGGCGTATGAAACAATCAGACTATTTCCGTAAGCTGGATGTCCAGGGATGATTCTTATTCATGAATATTTTTACATATTTTTTTACAAGAGATAATCCAAACAGTGAAGAGAAGAAGTAAAAAGTCGATTTGACTGATAAGTAAGATTTTGCCGAATATCTCCGAAATTAAAAGAAATACAGAATTTTTCATCGATAGCTTTTTTGAAGCTCTCATTGAGCCCTACAAAAAAGGTCCTATTAAAAATTCTGGTATCTCTCTTAGATTTGGAGATATTCATCCAAAACTCGACATTCGCTACTGAATTTTCAAATTTTTAGGTATCACCCCTGGACGTTCCCCTCCGGAATTCTTCATACGCAATAATAGAGTCATTACACTTTAATTCCAATTAATCTGTACTGTTCTTAAATTTTCCAATTCTCCCTAACGTACGAAAGAACAAAACAAATATTCAATAAATTAGCGCAATTAACTCATTTCGAAAAATCAAATAAAAAGCTGCACTTGGAATGTAACAAAAAAATCCATAAATATTCCCAAATACATCATTCAAAAATGTATAACGTTTCCGAAAGAAATTTCTCCTCAAGAAAAAAAAACATCAAATTAATTAATTTTGCAGCAGTCCCGACTCTATGCCTTCTCTATTCCCTTTCTTTCTGGTTTCCATTCACGTTGGACATAAATAACAAAAAAAATAGTGAATAAAATCTAACAATAAGTATCCCTGTTCGACAAAATACCCTCGTAAAATCTTCCCCTCAGGTGCGTTAAATCGATATTAAAGTGAAGTCATTGAGTTTTTGCATGAAAGCACAAAAAAAAAAAACAAAATCTCACACTCTCCAATTTTCAATGACCAATTGCTGCAAGTAAAATTGTGGATAAAAATGAACTTTCCTACGCCAATTACCTAATTAATGAATTCAATTAATTGATAAATTTTTATTGACTAATTGCCTTGCTGCAAGTGAAATTGTGGAGATATTTATAATAAATTTTAATTTTCCTAGGGTTTTCATGAATTAGGGGAAAAATCCGTGAAATAGTTTGTCCCATGCAAAAACTCAACGAAATTTTTCCTAAAAATATAATTTTGTTGTTGATTCTGGGTGATTACATGTCGGTGTGCCCCAGTACGCGGCACACCTCCATCTCCTAAGGATCAGCTGGACTCTCGAGTACCTCCATGAGGAATGAATCAATGGGTACATCACCGATGAGCCTGAAGAAGAACAAGTGCTCGAGGCATTTGAGACCGATTGAGCGAAGCGAGGGTAGACGCAGAAGGAGTTTAGCAAATCGTCCAGGTTCATTGGGTTTTGCAATCCTGACGTAGTCCTCGAGGGCTGCATACACCTTTTCCCGGAGTAGCTCCACCTCCTGCGCTGACTTTAATCCACGCACCTCAGAATTGAAGAGGATAATTGCCCTGAGACATCCCAATTCCGTTTTGTCGACCTTCATCTCTCGCATTTTAGTGACCAACTCCGAGAGGACGCGGTCGAATATCCTCTCGAGGCCGACCTGCTCCGCCGAATTTCTCTGGACTGTGATCCCAGTGGCTAGGACAATCACGTCCGAGACGTCCATCGAGCGGTGGGAAAAGGCTGCTATCAGGAGCTCATTCCATCCTGCTCGTAACAATAGGACCTGATCCTCCAGAGGAAGAGATGTAAAATGCGGGATGTGTTTTGCCCACTCCACCAGCTGAAACAGCTGTTTATTCGTGGCGTTGCAGATACTCGAGAGGGCGTTCTGAAATCATTAAATTCATTCGACCAAAGTTAATTACACCTTAAAACTGGATAATTAATAGTTCCAAGGATGAAGTTATTTAAATGTTTTAATTGACCACTGAAGATTATGTAACTAGAGGAAATCCTTAGAGGAAAGCAGCAAACTCAACTTTGGGACTGTATTTTTTATCCTGAAGAGATTATTACTCTGTTTTCGATAAAAAAAAAGGAGTTTTTCCAGTCTTGGCACTTAAATTTTCATTGAGGGTGGCCGATAGTCAGTCCCGTTAAGGAATAAATATGAATAATGCATGTCAATTACTCGGACAATATCAAGAATTCAAATTGGATGATTGAATTTTAATTTTTCGCGGTAATTATCAAGGACGGAATACATTAAACTTTATCTCAATCGTCAGTAGAGTTTCCACATTAATCAAGAAAATCAGTTTGACGATTGGAATTTAGGGTTTAGAAATAATATTCTGATTGTATCTGATGAAGATGTCATGTACACTCACGTCGTAATTCCCCTGGTGCTCCATTTTACACTCGACCCTCTTCTCAGCCTCAAGAATTCTCTCGACGGGCATATCAGAATGTAAACTACTGGTACTCTCAACTTCACTCTGATCTCGTTCCTTTGTACGTTGTCTCTCCTCCTGCACAGCTTCCCGTTTCATTCCCATCGCCAGACACTTTTGATAACGACAGTATTGACAGCGATTCCTCTGTCTCTTATCAATAATGCAGGATTTTTCCTCCCGACATGCATAAGAGAGATCCTTTCGCACTGTTCGCTTGAAGAAGCCCTTGCAGCCCTCGCAGCTGCAATTAACAAAAAAATAATATTCCTTCAAAAAAAAATCCAATGTAACGTTTTTTGAAGCCGGTTTATTTATACGAGAACGAACGCGCGCTACAGCGCGCTGTAATTATGAAAATCGTGATTAAAAATTGTTAATTTAAATGAGTTCCAAATTCAAATTAGCCGCCACAAACGACCGAACCAATGAGAAATAAGCGTGACAAAGTTTCGAGATATCGATAGTCTCGATGTTTATCCTTTTTAGGATAGGATTATATATAAATATAAATATATATAATATTATAAATATTTATATATTATATATATATTATATATATTTATTTTATTTTTATTCTAAAATTGGTTCCTTTTTCGTTCGTGCTTTGGACCTTTTCTTTTTATAATCTCTTTGATTCTAGCTCAGAGTCTGAATCTGAATGTTTGAATTCCGATTCTTATATATCTATCGTTGAAAAATGAAATGGAAACTCATGTAGTAGCACCACTAAAGTAAGAATACGCGCGCATAGCGCGCGCTCGTCTCTAGTGGTCATTAGTATTTGAAATATTCTTCGGCAAGTGGATCGCCTGTTTTCTTCATGCCCACAAAATCATTTGCGACACATTTTTTAATAATAATAGGACTTAGTATATAAGACAAATTATCAATTTTTTATTTTTAATTATTTAATTATAAAAATTATTTGAATAAAAATTATAAAAATTATAAAAATATTTAATTATAAAAACGCGATTTTTGATCTTCAGGCCGTTTTAGTTTTTATGAGAAAATTCAGTGAAATTATTTTTTGGAAAAAAAATGAAATAAGTCAATTAATAGGTGATTTTGGATAGTAATAATAATAGATAAATTTTTGTGGGATTAATAGACCTCAGACATGTTATTTAAACATCCAAGAATAAGGGGAGGCTCTTTTTAATTTCATTCTTCGGATTTTGGATGAAATCCAGGGGAAAAAGTTCTCGGTAAAATGCATGGGTCTTAAGAACTCGGAGATTTATTTTTGTAACCCCTGGAAGTTTAACGATTTTTGGTGCTGATGGTTGGCATTCATCCACTGCTTTCTCTTTTCCATCAATTTCCGGTCTCATTTTCATCGTGTTAATGTCAATTTATAAAATCACTGGAATGAATTTCACGTGTTAATGTCTAGAGATGAGATTTATTCAACGGTATTGGAAGCTCTGAGGATTTTTATTTCAATATCAATGTGTCTGGAGGAGTGAGAGATGAAAAGGAGAGTAATACAATATCATGGCAATCAATTCTGGTATCTGAAATGACAGGACAGGAGAGTGACAGAGTAATGCAGACTCATAACGAAGAGGTGAGTGAATAAAACGTTTGAGAAATGAATAATTCAGTCTTTCGGCTCGAGTTGATTCACTTTAGTCAATTAATTGAGTGGATCATTATAATTTAAACGACAATTCAATTAAATTCAATCTTGTGTTAATAATTCTGTCTCGAGGGGTTCTTTTTAATTTTCTGTCTTGTTTCATTTGATCCCGACGAGAGATTTGAACAGCCGATATTTATTTTATTTTTGTTTTCATCTTTTGGATTTATCATCAAGATTGACTCCATGAAGAGACTATGTACCAGAGGGTATAAATGTGATCTAATCAATAACTCAAGGAAATCATAATTTTGTCTTGCTTCATTTGATGTAATTATTTCATTTATTCATCACATCTAGAAAGTAAAAATCTTCAGATTTCTGAAAAATATTTCAGAGGAAGAACAGCGGAGACCAATAGACTGCATGTCTGACAGAATGTATTCTATATATAAATTAAATATTTATAACGATATATATGTAAACTCTCACCCTCTCAGGAGAGGGCCTATACATATTGCTTTATCGGTTTTACTTTTTGAAATGGAAAATTTTTCAATTTTGATTCAAGTTCTTCTATTTTTTATGAGTTCAGGATGAAGTTTTGGAACTTTCCCGTCTAATTCTGCAATATATATATATATATATATATTATTTAGAATATATATATATATATATATTATTTTCGTTTATATGAAGAGAAATTGGGAAGGGCCCACTTTACCATTGGGACTCACATTCTCACAGTTTGAGAATTCATCCTTTTTATGTGACTAGCGTACATGGCGCGCTATGCGCGCCAAATCGTCCACGTATGGGGTGTTATCATTGGAATATATATATATTTATATATTTCCAATGTAATATATACATATATAGAATTTCAAAAAGAAGATAGAAAAAAGTCTAAAAATTTATATAAAAAAAATAATTTAAAATTTAATAAATTATATTAAATTTATATATTATATTATTTATATATGTATATATTATATATATATATCATATTATATAGATATATTTTGATATGCATAGCGCCAAAAAAAGCTGACAAAAAACGTTACATGCTTTCTTTTAAAACGGATCCTTTTATTGCATGATAAGATAGATTGATGGATGAGCGTGGATCAATACTAAGTATCTATAGTGAAATTGATAATTGAAACGAGTACGAGTTCAAGTAACAATCTGCACTATTTTGTGTTCCTCGATATTTGATTACTCCTAAAGTTCATATAATAATAGTATTATTATTATTATTGTGGCACAACAACAACAACAACAACAACGACAATGACAATAATAATAATAATAATAATAATAATAATAATAATAATAATAATAATAATAATAATAATAATAATAATAGTAATAATAATCGTCATCATCATAATAATAAATATTTTTTAAATTAAAAATGATAATTTTTAAAGTGAATATTCAAATTATTATTAATTTATTAATATCTTAATATTATATATATTAATATAATAATATTAATATCATATTTAATGATATGATAACATTACATAATAATAATTTGGAAAAGTAAAGATATTATTATTATTATTATTATTATTATTATTATTATTATTGTTGTTGTTGTTGTTGTTGTTGTTGTTGTTGTTGTTATTATTATTGTTATCATTGTTATTATTATTTTTAAAAATTGTTATTGCAGTGACAAATGCATCTCCGAGAAAAGGTACCACTTTGTGGAAGCTTGTTTATTTAATGATAACCCGATAATTTAATCTCGATAAACACTACTTTATGTTGAGACGGGTATTTCCTGGGTATTCAAATCGTAATCGGTTTAAGTTCCAAGGACAAGTCAATACTAATATTAGTACCTTGAACTTTGATGTAATTTTTCTCAAAACGAGGTTTTTTGCATTTTCAACTTTGAAAGGCTAGAAGTCCGCGGTTTTTTCGTTCAGGGGCATGTGAGACCCCTCAAAATATTCAACATTTAATCAGGTATGTAGATAAGGCCCCGTATAGATAAATCTAATACCGTGAAAGTGGGCCCTTTGTGTGCACACGTCCGCATATCCAGAAATATTTGTCGCGCGTACATTTTGGTAGAAAAAAATTATCATCCGAGATATATTTTGGGTATATCTATCGGGATATATCTCAGCGAGTATATTGAAGATATATTGGAAAAGTAGGTTGGATATATTTATCATAATTGGTGATTTATTGTTGTACTTTTCACTGCAATATTACTATTGTGTAATATTCAGAGCTGTCACGATGATGAAGAGATAGAATCGAAGTGACAAGTGGACATTTGGGTGCATGAAATATATGAGTGGTATTTCTTTGAAGTATTAGGAGGAATGGAATATGTCATGAAGACATGAACTACCAGTTGAAGGAATTCATAAATCTTTGCGTGGATTCAAGTGTGACAAGAAGCGTGTGATTAATTGACATGTACTCATTTCTCCGGTGGTATAAGCTGTTTTTATAATAAAATTCATGCTGACTGATCATAGGAGAAAAAGGCGTCATTGGGATTCTCAGTAAACGGGCGTGGATTGCTCAATTAGATGGCATTGGAGCGGAGTAACTCAGGAGGCCAGCAACTGCCTTCTCATGTTTGTAGGAACTACGGGTGGGTAGACTCATAAACATGACTCTCAGCAAGTCCAAGGTTATACTATGCATTCGATATAAAATGTGCAATTCAAGGGAGAGGTGGAGGCATTTTTCCTTCAGACAGGATCTCGTGTTTTCTCATGACACGAAATGTGCAGTCGCCATCATTTGACGCGTGAAAATTACGCGTTATTATCGCACGTCAGATTGTCGTGTGAAAAATGCCCGGGTTTTTCTTTTTTTTTTTTATCATTCCGTAATTGCCGGATTATTCAGGAATTTTATCCTTCTTTTAGAATTTTTACGCGTGCTCATCTTCATTGCGGTGGGAATTTTTCGGAGAACAATGGGATTGTCTGATGATTTTTTCATTTTAAGAGGCGACTGACACGGATTTCTTTTTTTTTGGAATTAGAAGACCGTGGAGGAGACAATGTTCAATTTAGAACGAATTTAATTCCATTATTTTAATTATTAAGAAAAATTGGGAGCGAAATGGTGACGTGAGAGTCAAGTCTGAAGTTTTTTGGAACGATCGATTTATCTCGAAAAGTATCGATCCAATCGGGAAATAATAGAGGACTTTTTTGTAGCTGGTGAAATTTCCCGCGAACACGATTTTGTCGTGTTTTCTCCTGAAACGGATCGTTATTGAGATAATTTGATCTTTAATTCGGTCTTTCAGTTCCCAGTCTCTCAAAAAAACTTGTCAATACTCGAGAGGAATGAAGGAATATCCAATAAATTTGGAGTGTACCACGTAATTGACTGCTCATCGGAACACCTCATTCGTAAAACATGAGAAATGGATGAACGAGATAAAACAAGGGGAAAAGAAGAAAAGAGGCGTACGAACAAGTGTCTACTACGTTGAAAAAATTACGGGGACGCCCACGCGATTTCCCATCACTCTGTCGGCACGAGAATCCAGAAAAAAACGTCTCCCTTTTACGGCCCTCTGAATCCACTTCACCATTACGTACGGACAATGATAAAAAAGGTGAGAGTGATTCAGGTTTAGGCCAGTGAGAAGAGTTTTGAAGTAAAGAAAAATGGCCGAGGGGAGAAAACTTTGCCCCAATAATTCTCAGCCAACGAGGAATGGAAATACCTGCAAGAGAGCTTAAAAAAATTGTTCATTCCGTAAGAACAGAATAAAACGAGCCCGGAATGATTTGGAAGGGGCAAATCGGTTTAATTGTTGTTTAAAAACGCGAGGTGGAGCTCCGCCATCTTTGAATCCCCATACGGCAGAGGAAAATGGCGTAGACACATGTTAATCGTTGATTTTTTTATATTTACTGGAATTATTTTATTATTTTGTCCGTTTCGTCGAGCGTAATGAAATTATTTGAGTTTAGTGTTCATCTATCAAGGATTTTGATCAGTTTTTGGTGAAGAATTCATGGAGAATTCATTATTTTCTCCTGGGTATCAGGACATTTTTCACTCTCGCGATTTTTTAATGAAAAAACTCTTTGACGTAACCCTGAAAATTTATATAAAAGCCAGTGGGCGCATTATTCATCGGGCAACAATGAGGACCTGGTGGGGATTATCGAGCCGAGTCGAGGACTGTGTCCTTGAACCATCTGACGGTTCGTTAAATACCGAAAAGATGATAGATGAACGAGAGAGTTGAAGAGAAAATTTGAAAAATTGAAAGCAAGATGGAAAATCATATCTTCTCTTCCAGCCGAATCTTCATTCATTCGAAATCTCTCTATTTAATGTAATCACCGAATTTTTTTGTTAATAACTATTAAATAAATTTCAGATTCCAAATGGAGAGTTGGAATTCGGTCAGCTTTATCTGTACATATTCTTTAGTTCTCATTCCCGAATGAACAAAAACCCTCAGACACACAAAAAGACGGCGAATGCACAAAGAATCGGCTGTAATTAAAGGTTTTTCTTGGTGGATAATAAGAAGTGAATGGACTGGTGGAGGTAAATTGAATGATTTCTTATATTCCGTGACCGGATGGGTTAATACGAACCTGTAGACTCCATAGTGTTTTCCACTGGCCCGATCGCCGCAGATCGAGCACAGATGTTTGCTACCGGAAAGTGGATGATTCGGTGGATATGGTGAACCAGCACCGGTCTTGCTCTGACCGCCTGGTGAAGTACTCAGGAGACTGCTGTGACATCCCGTTGTGAATGACCTGGAAACGTGTAGGAATTTATTGGTCCACCAGGGGTACTCTGTGGTCTCCAACCACATCTTCGTCAGACTAATCATCAATCAACGCAGCCTTCCGTTAAATTAACAATTCTCTGGCGGAGGGATAAGTCCATATGTCAACTACGAAAGTTTTCGAGAAATTTCTTCGAATCTAATAGAGATACAGAGATTCTTGTAATGACCTTTTTCGTAGGTCTCATTCTGCTCTACAAAAAAGGTCTTTACGAAAATTTTGATAGCTGTATTAGATTCTTTGATATCTCTGGAGAAACTCGAGTAGGCGATGAGTTTGTCATCATTTGTTGTATTTTGGTGGAAGTACTCAGTATTTTTTTATAAAAAGAAACTGGAGATGCGGGGTACTATCAAAAAATTTGGAGGTTTGCTCGTTGTTGAATAATTCGATTACTGTCTTAAGGGTGATCAGTCCTGACATGGGGTTTGGACCAATGACGGATTCTGAGGAAATCGGGGGAGTGGGCACCTTTGGAAGTGGCAGATGTCCCTAGATAGATAAATGCCCGCGAAATCATCTAGGAGAACCCAAATGTCGATTGAACCCTTAGAGTAGTACGAAACTCAGATTTCAAAGATTAACATCTGGAAAAATTTGTAAACTAAAGTTCATAAGAATAGGAAAGTCATGAAATTTTCGCGCAATCCTCAATCTAGGACTCTACATAATAATTAATTATAGATTTTCAAAATAAGACGAAGTCTCATTACAAAATGAGTTACTTGAGGTTGATTGAGGACTCAGAAATAATTGCAGATGTGCCTAGCATCTGCAGTACAAGTATCCGCGAAATAAAAATATTATTTTGGGGTACTAGGTCGGATTGTATTTATATTTATTAATAATAAATAAACCTCAACTCGTCAGAAGACAACCGATGATTCAGGCACTTCCGATTCCTGATTGTTAATTAACTAGATTTTTTTTTCCCTGATGAATAATCGAAAGGTGCCGGATTAAAATCCGGGCCTGTACTATCAATATTTTCACTAATTTTTTTTTTTTTGTAAAATTATATCGAGAATTATCCTAGTTCCCTTTCTACCCATTCCAAAATCCTCTCCAATGATTTCCCCGTGACGTCACAAAATGTGGAACGCTATATAAAATTGTCGTTTTCTATGAAATTATGACTATCGCAGCAAGATCGTATGCACTATAACTGATGACAAGTCTGGGCAAGTGACCGCAATTTGCGTGACCTCTCAAAATTACATCAGGGCTACCGGATACAGCGATATAGACAACATACAATGCGCGAATGCAAAAGTGGCGTGACGGCCACACCAGACTCATCCGCGCTAATGTGCTTTTAAGGTTGGGGATCAGACAGACCTGGAGATTGTGGTCACGTCAGTCACGAATACTCAGGAGTCACTGATTTCCTTTCATTTTTACTCCGACGTCTGACTCCACCGCTCATTCCCCTGGGCAGCTTCTAATTTTTGAATTAGGATATTTGCATTTTGGAGATGACACGAAGATGAATTTAGCCTGCGGGGTAGCTCTGCCTGATTATTATCGATGGAGAAATATCTCAATTCTGGGATGTTGGATTTTGGGGTTTTACCCCGAGCTCAAAATTCACTCTTCTAGAGTTTTTATATTTCTGGATTTAGGGAATATTTATTTCTTTGTTGCTGAGGGACCTTTTCTTTATGTTATTACCCAGAGAGGGTAAAGAAAGAGAAAAATCCAAGGGTTGAAGGTGGAAGGAGAAATTATAATGCCCTCCAGAGAGGAGTTTAATGTGGGCCTTACTAGTAATGTTGAGTTAGTTCGTTGTAAGTCTTCGTTCAGTAAAGTACCTCTTAACTGTCTACAGTCTTACAATTTTTAATAATAATTCCCAGTCTTAAAAATTCTCCAAGTGTTTATTTATTTCGATTTCCATAATCCAATATGGGATTTAAATGTTTGACACTGATTTGCAAGAGGGCATTTCTCAATTTCAAGGATTCAAAGTTATTGAATTGTTTAAGATGAGTTTAATTTTTCTATTTCTAGATTACGGTTACAAAAATTAATCGACGTGGATGACACCAGAGAGTCACACGAGAGTATACATAAACATAAACAATTATTCCTGGAGAAAAGAGGAACAGAGGGCTCCTTCATTACATGAAGAATATTTTTTTTGTTTTCATGAGTACTTCTAGTCTCTTGAAGAGATCCATAGAGTCCACACATTTCTTTCTCCTGCCATTTTTAAGAATAAAGGAATTCAAATTTTATCCACTGCATTCAATAATTATTTATATCTCCCATAAATTCATTGGGGGGCGGGGGGGGGGGGCAGTCTCTTGTTGATTTTTAATGAACTCACCCCGGGCTGTTGGGACCAGAGGGGCTGAAGTTCCCTGAGTTCATGAGACTCGCGGTATCTGGTTTCATATCTAGGGGACTTTGAGGTCCCACCGACGACATCGACATGTTACTACTGTCGAGGCTCAGCCCTGCAAAATAATTAGATAAGAATTAGTTAATTATCATCAAGGTATGAATTAATCAATTGGCATTCGTGGAATTTTCCCGAGTCTGTCGTACGGTTATTATTTAATCCGCTTGTGGATATTTATGAACGATATCGTGATACGTAATTCACCAGATGGTGGTACAGGGTCAACAAGAGTGAGATGTCAGGGTGACAGCGAATGCCATGATCATCAATTATGCAATCACTCGCGGGATGAATAATTTTTATTATACTATTTTCTCCCCTGCGTTGAGAGGAAAATTCACAAAAAAAATACCAGGAAGGGATACACTTACAATTTTGAAAATATCTCCGGAACTAAGGGACACAGCGAAACTTTGGTGATTACCTTTTTTAGAAATCTTAATTAGTTCTACAAAAAAGATTATCACATCAATTTGATTATTTCTGATAGTTTTCGAGATATTTATGGAAAACTTACGGAACAATCTCAGCGGTTGTGTAAACTTTTTTCTGATGCAGATTATTAACAAATAAATTCATTGAATGATATGCTACTGGGATTATTATAATATATTATAATATATAGTGTTAGGGATTTGATTATTGTTAGATTATTTACGGATTTGTGTTATGGAATAATTTATAACGACGTGGTGGCATCGTGTGTGTTAGTAATTGCAGTTGGATGTCACCCACTGTCGGGTGCAATTGTGATTTACGAGCGTCAGATCCATGAATTTGACAAATCGCCCGATCACTCCGGCACTAAATCATTGTCTTGAACATGTGAATGAATTTTTTCACACAGGTCCAAGGCCGGTTGGGATCTCGCTAGAGAAAAAAGTAGACAGGGCACCTTGACCAAGCAAACACGTCGGTGCAACGTTCGAGAGCACCGGCTATTCATCGGCCCGAATATATTTATACCCATGTATTTACATGATCAACGAAGGCACACTCGATGCGTGTATGGATTTTTCGAGTTTTCCACCGGAAAAGTATTTTTTAATGGCATTTTTTGCGCGTTTTTCTTTTTCACCATTTTTATTCATCTCGAATCGTTCATTTATCTCGAACACTAGCGATTTGACGTGGAATCGGTAGAGAACTTTTCGCGAGATCACTAAATTTCCCGTCAAAAGGGTCTTTTGACATTTTTTCCTAAAATCAACAGATTTTGAGAATAATCGACAATTAATTGTCGATTGGGGAGGATTATTTTTTTTCTACTTATTCTTCATTCTGAATTTTTAATCTATATCGAAAACTGTGAATTTGAGGAGGAAATGACAGAAGACTTTTTCAAAGGTGATTAAATTTCCCGTCAAAAAGATCTTTTGACATTTTTTCCTAAAATCAACAGATTTTCAGAATAATCGATAATTAATTGTCGACTGGGGAAAAAAATTGTTTTTTACTGATTCTTAATTCTGAATTTTTAATCTACATCGAAAACTGTAGATTTAAAGAGGAATTGATATAAGACTTTTTCAAAGGCGATTAAATTGCCCGCGTAAAAGGTCTTTTGACATTTTTGCCTCAAATCAATAGCTTTCGAGATTTATCGGTGATTCATTCTATCATTATTTTCTTGTTTTCACCGCAATATGTTAATTGATTTATTTTATTTTATTTTATTTTATTTTATTTTTTTTTGTTTTATTGATTTGAATGGAAAATTATTCAATTCCTCCGTGATATATCGTGTAATCACATAATTTTTGAAAATAAAATTGGAATTGAATTCTACAGCGATATTTAAACAAAACTAATAATCAGTTAATAGAACACGTGAACTCGGTGTAAGACATTTATCATAAGTGTAAGCTCGACAATTTCTCGACAAGTTCTGAAGTATAATGACTCATACTGTGCATCGACATGCTAATTTTAGTAATATGTACACATCGATGACAAAAGATCACTTCATGGCTTGGGGCATGACGAAATTGTGGTTATTTCACACCTTCTCCTGTGCGAGTTGTTGAACTTTGAGATGAGCAATAATTCTTAACTAGACCAAATAAAAATACTTGCCACGAGCCGAACAAAGTCGAGAGTTCAAATATGTTACAGTTGGCGAGTTCAGGTGTGAATAGGTAAACAAAACAACTCGAGACGTCAATTGTGTAGATGAAGACGAGAATAATGAGAGAAACAGGTGTGCAAATATCAAGTATTTGCTGCAATATCTTTGATAATAGAGAATTCATAGTAACAAGGACATCTTCTAGACACTTAAATAATTCATAAAAAATGTTTTCACAGTAATTTTACACGCTTGCGCAATCGGTAACCGAAATATTCTACTTTGAGAACAAAAAAGAGTTCTGAATCTTTATTTCTTTTGAACAATTTATATTTCGCTAAAAATTACAATATTGTCGGGAAAATAAAAAAATATTGTTATGGAATTATTATACAAAATAATATTATTTAATTTTATTGACACGGAATTTTCTAATGTGCAATGAAGTCGGATAAATCGAATTCTATACAATTATCGATTTATCTCGAAAAGTGTTGATTTCAGATAAAAGTGCTAGAAAACTTTTTTATGGCAAATGAAATTTCCCACAAAAAATATCTTGTCACATTTTCTCCTAAAATCGATAGATTACGAGATTTATTGATATTTAATGACACAAAAAAATAGGTACATTCTGTGCTTTCAAGATTTGCCGTAATTAATCTTAAATTTAACATTAAACAATTATCTCAAACAACTTTTGCCGTCAGAACCAAATTTAATCATCATAAATCTTTTTTTGAGTGCATCAGCAGTAACTTCTGCATAATTATAAAAAAGTTACAAGGGGGTGAATTTTTTACAGAAAATACAAGATGTTAATGCACGTACATTTTTTTTTCCATTGAAACCGTCTTCGCTGGTGGATTCACCATGAAATGCATCGAGAATTTCCAGGCGAGTTGCTTGCCTTATAAGTACAGGTTTGAAAAACCCTGGAGAAAATAAAAGATATCGCAAGGCTAAAGCGCACTTTCTCGCGAGTACATATTCATCTTAAAAATCGATTAATTTATTTCCGATTAAATTTTCGCGAGCCGAGACGGTGCAATTGATTAAATTAAAAAAAAAACAGATCATTACCCTTAGAATATCCAAATCACTGACAATTTTCTAAACAAACGTATCATTTTACTTCTTCCCGTGGATTTCATCAAATTTCTTCGCGCCTAGCGAAATCCTATCCAGTCACCCAATCCTCATGTAGAAAAAAACGAATTGACTTCCATATTTAAAAATTATAACGGATCATGCAGCATTCCCAGGAGAAGCGAAAGTGCACAAGAAATGGAGTCAGGAAAAAACAGGTTTTCGATTTCGGAAGAGCATTTAAATCCTCAGACAATGACGTCATGCCGCGATTCGCTGAGAGAATTCAATGACGATTTGAGATATTATTATTATTATTATTGATGAATTGATGGGAAATCACTTTATTAATCATCAATTCTTTATTAATAGATGGATTTATTTTGGAATATTATTTCAATTTTATATAAAACCCTCGGGCGATACATTTCAATGTAAATCCCATAAGATTGTAAAAAATGCCATCAATTTTTATCCTTTTTTCAGCGCCAGAGAAAATTTATTTACTTCTTTTTATTCCGCACTGGTAAAATTCGGTTAAATTTCAGCCGTAGTAGCCGAAATTTCCAATTTTATAAATTTAATGAATGGATAAATAGATAGATTTATTTATTTATTCATTGATATTACTTTACAGTTTTATATCCACACGAGCTTTACTCCCTTTAACGTCTTTATACTAGATATTAAATAACAATTGACATTATTAAATAAATAAACAAAACAATAAATAAATAAAACAAATAAATTTAATGGATAGATAGATAGATTTATTTATTTATTCATTGATATTACTTTACAGTTTTATATCCACACGAGCCTTACTCCCTTTAACGTCTTTATACTAGATATTAAATAACAATTGACATTATTAAATTTAATAGAATTTGTAGTTAGAACGCTCACTAAATATGTGATTTATTTGGAAAATTAAAAAAAATTGCGTTTTTGGGAAAATTCAATAACAAATACAATTTTTCGATTGCCATTAAAAAATTATATTTGAAACTTAAGAACAAAAGAATTATCAATCTATTGAAAATTCAATTGAATTTACTGTTGAATATTTATCATCAGCACGAAAATTCTAGATTTTATTTAAATCATTTATTATTTAACATGAAAATCTAGTTCTTTGATTGAAGAAAAATATAATTAATACTCTCTAATCGTTTAAAAGTCTGACTTACGAAATCTGAAAATCGAAATTCGGAGAATCAAAAACTTATTATTCAACAATTTTAATGAATTAACTAATCACTGAAGAACTTATATAATTTTCCCATCACTTAATTATTATCGAACATTTCAAGTCTTTCATTTTTAAGTTTCACATATTATTTTTCAATGGCAATTTAAAAATTGTATTTGTTGTTAAATTTTCCTAATGAAAAACGCAATTTTCTTGAATTTCTGAGATAAACATTTAGTGAATATTATTTAGTGAGCGTTTTAACTGCAGATTTAATTAAATTCATAAAATTGGAAATTTCGGCTACTAGGGCTGAAATTTTACGGAATTTTTACCAATGCGGAATAAAAAAAATGAATAAATTTTCTTTGGCGGTGAAAAAGGGATAAAAATTCATGGCATTTTTTACAATCTTATGGGATTTACATTGAAATGTATCGCCCGAGGGTTTTGTATTGAATCCTCTGAATACATAAAATCGAGGGAACGTTATATATAATCAATATAACCGATGAAATTTCAAGTAATTTCCGAAAGATAATTATTAGAGTTCACATTCCACGATTACAAAAATTAATCATATATTCCACAGTGTTTATTTTATTATTTGAGAGAATATTTTTCGCATTTCGAATTTTGAGAAGTGCGTGGAAAAATATTTAGGCATCTAGTTTTTCAGTCTAAAATAGTGGGGCCATTGTGGGGC